CAGGAAATTTTAACAATTTCAGCAGCTCAGGTGCTAATCTGTGAGATCATCCAGTTTTAGCGAGGTAATACTGTTGAGCCGTAGCTTGATTCCCGTTGCTGGAAGGGCCCCGTTTGATTTCACAACTACGCACAAATTTGACCTGGGTGGGCTTTAGAATCGACATCAAAAGACTGTTGGAAATGTCAGAACTCCTAGGGTAACATCCATTCAGTTAGAGGCAGCACCCCGTACTGAAGCCCAAGAGCTCAGAGCTTGACCTAAACCTTCAACCCTGAACCCTAACCGTAACCCGTACTTAAAATCACTAGCTCTGGGGGCTCCCCACTAACCTTTGACCTGGGTACCATCACCTTGATGCACACTAGAGAGGGTTTCCGGCCTAAAACTGCAGAAGCCTGAGCAGTGATGTTAAGGGTTTAGGGTTTGGAGTCCTCAACGCTAAACCTTAAACCTTCAGGGTTTAGAGTTTGGAGTCCTCAACCCTAAACCTTAAACCTTAAGGGTTCAGGGTTTAGGTTTTGCACATCTTGGCCTGGGAACTGGGAACCCTCTTGCAAATCTTCCACTTGGGACTCGGCTACGAGCCATGAAGCCCAATCCCGGGCACGATCAGCTCCTTGACCGGATTTTGTCATGTGGTAGTTTCCCGATAATAGGGGGTTTAGGGGCTTTAGGGTTTAGGGTTTAGGCTCCGTCACCCATCGGGCAATCTTTTTTGGGTTGGCAGCAGCCTCCTGTCAGCTCTGTCGCAAGGATATGGTCGCTGACAGGCCGCTGGATTGCTGCAGCAGGATTTATCAATAGCCAGGGCAGCTTGCAGCAGGATGCTGAGCTCGTAATGTGCTGTTGTCATTACTACTACCATTAGCCTTGTTACTGTTATTATTACTATTACTATCACCATTAGTATCACTACTATGAGTATTATTACTATTGCTACTGTTATGCAGACCGTGGAGGTGAGCTCTTGTGGGACATCCTTGTGTTCTTGGACGGGAAGGCGCTGCGCTGCATGGTTTAGGTGGACCCCCCACCCAGTAATAGTGACTATAGGGGATAATAGGGATTATATTGGGGTCCTCTTATATTCCTATTATACCATTATTACAGGGTGGGGGGTCCTCCTAATGCATAGTCATGTTCAGGACAGACTGGCTTAGACGTGCTATGTAGTAGTTTCCATTTTCTTTTCCATCATCCCCATCTAACCCCAACATATAACCTATTCTACTGCAGTTGTTGCCATGTTCTTTTCCGTTATCCCTACTAATAACTCCAAATATATACCCTATTCTGCTATAGTAGTTTGCATTTTCTTTTTCATGATCCATGTTAATAACCCCAATATATACCCCATTATATTATGGTAGTGTCCATTTTCTTTTCCATGATCCTTATTAGTAACCCCAAACTTCAACCCTAAGCCCTAAATCCTATAGTCCTATAGTAGCTTCCCTTTTCTTTTCCATCATCAATATGTAGCCCCAATTTAACCCTATACAACCCCTATATAACCCATTATAGTCGTTTGATTTTGTTTGTAAGGTTATGGCCCATGCAGGCACTGTTGGTTCTGGGGACCACTGCGAGCCTCCAGCCAAGACTGTTTGCACACGTAAGCTATAAGGGTTTAGGGTTTAGGGCAACACGTGAGCTATAGTCCAAAGTCTTAGTATCCCTCTTAATAACCCCTATAGTAGTCCCCCATATTATATAATACCCTATATAACCTCCTTTAAGGAGTTTAGACCCTAAACCCTAAACCCTAAACCCTAACCCCCTTTAAGGAGTTTAGACTATGGCTCATGTCAGAGCCTTGGCCCATCGAGAATCATTGCACTAAGGCTATGTCCTCCTGACCTGCGAGCGCGCCAGGCTGCAGCGATGTCTTTTGCAGGCTTGGCGGGGGGTTAGGGTTTAGGGTTTAGGGTTTGGGGTTTAGGGTTTAGGGTTTGGGGTTTAGGGTTTGGGGTTTAGGGTCTAGGGTTTGGCGGGGGGGGGGGGGGGG